AGGACGGAAACCTGAACGTGGACAGAGTCCCACTCAGGATTCCAACAAAACCAAAAACGAACTGGGACCGATCCTCTCTAGAGACGGGCACAAGTATCACGGAGAGGACTGCAAGTGGCGAAGGAGCCTGAGAACCGCTGGGCAGGCCATGTTTGTGGACCAGAGGGGACCCGTGTGTGACGACATCAAGCCAATAGCTTAGAAATCCCATCACCTTGGGTAACACCTCTAGTAAGGCTTTTTTTCTTCTTTGAAGATTTTACATATTTGGGGGCACCTGGGTGGCTCAGCCAGTTGAGCGTCTGACTCTGGCTCAGGTCATGATCTGGGGGTCCTGGGATCGAGCCCCATGTCCGGCTCCCTGCTCAGTGGAGAGTCTCTCCTTCTCTGCTTTCTCTCTGTCTCTCTCAAGTAAATAAGTAAAAAATCCTTAAAAAAATTTTATTTATTTATTTATTTATTTATTTATTTATTTATTTATTAGAGAGCGCACGCACGCATGAGTTGGGGGCAGAGGGAAAGACAATCTCACGCAGACCCCCCCGCTGAGCACAGAGCCCGACACAGGGCTGGACCCCACAACCCTGATATCATGCCCTGGGCTGAAATCAAGAGTCAGACGTGTGACCCAGGGGCCTCTCCAATAAGGTTTTTTTCAAAAAGGAACTTTAAGCTGGTCTTAAAATTCAGATGGGAAAGCAGAGGGCCAAGAACAGCTACGACTCTCCTGAAGAAGGACATGGGGGCAGAGCTGTGCTTGGGGACAGGGCAGAGTTCGGGAACAGCCTGGAGCACGCACACCTGGGTGCTGGGAAGAGTGGAGGCCACGCGAGTTCCGTGGACACACGGAAACACCAGTCATTCCGACGGGACAAATCAGGGCCTTTCACACCACACGTGAAAACAATTTCCAATGAACTAAGGGCTTACACAAAGCAAAGCTTTGTAATTTTAGATGAACATATGGGAAAATGTATTTAAGAACCTGGGGCAGAAAAGGACTTTTTAGACGAGGAAAACAAACCGTAAAAAAGATGAATGCATTTAAACACATTAAAATTTAAAAACTATTCGCATCAATAGATACCATTAAACAAAATAAAAGGCTTAACCAATGCATAATCAAGAAAATTACCAACCAAATAGGAAATGGGCAAAGAACATGAACAGGAGATTCACAGAACAAAACCTCAAATGGCCAGTAAATGTTTTCAAAATATTCCGCCTAAGCAGCAACCAGGGGAAAGCAAATTAAAATAAAGAGATCCAAAAAAGTAAATAAAATAAAATAAAGAAATCCTAATCACATCCAGCGCCATGGCAAAGATGCAGTCTGTCCCTCTATGTGGTCTGGAGACCGTCTACGTGGCACGGCCTTTTTGGGAACAGGCCCATGCCAATGGCCACACGATCCATGAAGGTGCCCCTGGGAGCAGGTGGACCCGCGTGGCGACTCAGAGCTCAGGCCCGTGAACACCGTGGCAGTGGGACGGCGTGAGGCAGGCAGCTGGTCTGTGTTGACTCTGAAGCGATGCGGCAGGCGCACCTGCACGGGCCCCGCTCAGCTCCTGGGGGACGGGGGTGGGGGGGCTGCTGTTGTTACTTCCTGAGCAGGGTATGAGGCAAGTCCTGCTGGAGGCCAGACCTGATGGGCTGGGTGGACATGGCCCTGCCCGGTCTTCTTTCTTCTGTTCTCAGTGTTTAAAACGATTAAAGAAAGGATGTTCTTGATCCCGTGTGAACAGATCCCACCGATTGGGGTGGGAGAGGCTGGGATCCTGTGCAGGCTACCTAGGGAGCATGGGGTCCCAGGCTGGAGCCTCCTGCCTCCTGCTGCTGGCTCCCAGCATGGCCCTGAGTTCTCCTTGACCCTGCTCTGGGCCTCTCTGGCCACTGCGGGACCGTGGGCATCTGGCCCTGGCAGGTGGCTTCAGGGCCTAGATCTGCGTTGTGTGTAGACATTTGCGTGCACGTGTGTGTGTATCCGTGTATGCGTGTATGTGCGGGTACGTATCTGGATACGCGTACACAGCTGCTCAAGTGTGTACATCTGCATGTCCACAGGCGTGTGGCATGCACACCCGTTTGGCCGGTGCCATCACGTTGCCTGCTCACTAAGACGTGGCTCCTCCCGCTTGAGGCAGGAGCTAACAGGGGGTCCCAGGTGCAGTCAGACGCGGCTGCTGGGTGGTGGTGTCTCCACGGTTTTATTGTGTGCTGGCAGGGAGAGGGCCGCCAGGCCGGAATGGAGCCGACTGACCGCTTCCCGGCCTGCAGCCACTACAGGGCACCCAAAGGGCAGTGTGTCTGTAAGCAGGTTAGTGGGGGGCACTCCCCACGAGCCGACGACAAACACCGGAGCCTGGGAGCGCTGCTCCTTGAGGAAGCAGGGACGTGCAGTCTGCACACAGCTGGGTCACACCCAGAAGTGGGCATGGGAGCTCACAGATAGGGTTGCCTGTATGTACATGTTCATGTGCGCACCCCCACGTGCACCTGTATGCACACGTCACACCTACGGGAAAGCCCGTGTGCCAGCAGAGGGATGGAGCCTTCCGAGAGGGCCCAGGCCACTTGGCCCAGCTCCAGGCGGAGTGCCTCGCGGTCTCGGGGAGACCAGGTTAGGTGGGACCACGGTCACAGTGTGGGGACGGCCCCACCTGGGAGACGCAGCCTGGTCCCCCCACCATCCCGAGCTCTGTTCCTGCACCCCAGGTTTGGGGCCAAACCCCTGAATGAAGGACCTGGAACACCCACCTGTTTGGGACCGAGGGCCACATGGGAAGCCCCCTTGCCGGGCCTGTGGCCTGCACCAGGCACAGGGAGGGACCTTCAGTAATGAGATTTCCCCCAAATCCTCCTGCCCTCACGTGTGGGCGCCCTTGTCCCTGTCTGCCTGAGGAGACAGACTCGGAGAAGCATGTGGGCTGGTGGGCGGGTGTCAGGGCTGTCCCCAGGCCCTGGCTGCCCACCGAAGTGCTTTCCCCATGGAGGTGTCCCCGACCCAGAACCCAGAAGAGGGAAGGGAAAGCGTGGCTGCTGGGAGGGAAGGTTCATGTTTTAACAGAGGACACGCTGTCCCCCGCAGGCAGGGTGAAGGGCTGCTCTGACCTCTGCGCAGAGGCTGGGGTGGGGACATGGGCCCGAGGGCACAGCAGGCCAGGGCACAGCGGTCCCAGCAGTGTGTGCTGGAAGGGCCGCCCAGCAGCCACGGCCAAGCATGCAGGACCGCAACCCTGAGCAACTGACCAGAGACGCAGGGTCCAGGAGGAGACGACGGTCCCACTGCAGCTGCCACGGACACGGGGACACAAGCCGAGTATCCGGCAGCCCAGGGCAGTCGAGGGGCGGCAGAGAGAGGCGGACACAGGACAGACGGTCACCAGGGTCACACGAAAGTCAGGCCACGCTAACAACTAGAACCACAGTTTTCAAATTCACTGTTCAAGGCTTGAATCTTCTTCAAAAACCTTTTTATGTAGAAACCCCAGACGAGACAGAAGGGAGCCGGAGGTTCAGGGCACGAGCGGGTCCCAGGGGCCCTCGAGTAACTTGCGACTGGCCTACCCGGGTGGGGATGGGGGTGCCCAGGGCACCGTGCAGGTGTGGTGCCCCCACATGGGGCTGCTTCTGTCCGTCGGGCACGGCTTCCACGGAGACGCTATCCTCCCAACAGACCCGGGCAGAGCCCGGCTCCAACGCTGCTCCCTCGCGGCAAGGCCAGCCTTCACGCACCAGGAGCTGGCTCTCAGCGCCGCCCGCCCTCTGTGGGCCTCAGAGCACGCCCACCACTTCGCCCCTCGAGGGCACATGGCTCCTGCCCTGGGCTGTGGGGGGTTGGAGGTGGTGTCCCAGCCTCACCTGGGCTGGCCGGGGCCACGGTGGCAGGCAGCTCTGCCCACAGACACACGCGGAGCGTCCAGTCCCCAGGCCTCCACCCCCACCCCGACGCCAGGGGCATCTGTCCTGACCCCACGGGCCCAGCACAGAGGACTTCTCCCAGCCGGCCAGATGTCCATCCTGGGAGCGGCATGGGAGGAAGCGGGCACAGACGGCAGACACACAAGGATCTGAATGTGCACACCGTGGCCGTGGGCTAGCCATGGGCCTGGGTGAGTCCTTGACCACCAGGAACCCTGCACTGCTCACGTGGCCCCAGGGTACTAGACATCGGAGGCCAGGGGTGCCTGCAGCTGCGCGGACACAGAAGAGATCAGTGGGGGCACCGTAGCCTGGCCTGCGCTGACCCTCAGCTGCCCCAGTCCCATCATCAGCCTCAGCGCTGTCTGGCCTGGCCCGTGAGGGAGCTGGAGGGGCCAGGAGGTCTTGACCCACGGGAGGCCGTGCTGGGGTCTCCAGCCTCGAGGGACTGGGCCCCAGGGAAGCGAAGTCCTCAGTCCTTGGTCAGAGCCAGAAAAGCCAGCCTCATGTCATGAACAGGGAAACTGAGGCAGCATTGAGGCTGTTTCGGGCCTGTTCCCCACCCTGTGGGCCCCAGCTTTGGCTGCCCTGGGGCTTCATGTGAGTTTGGACATCCACCATCTGGACACACCAGGCACACAGGCCGTCTCCCCTCCGCTCCCAGCAGGCAACACGCCAGGCACCCTGGACCCGCCCACCGCCTTCCAACAGGCTCAGCCCTGGGGTGAGTGGGCGGCTGACGCCCCCACAGGACCCCTCCAGGCGGACCGAAGCCACCGATGGCCCATCCCCAGGCCCCTGTGCCTGGCTATGCGCTGGAGTGGGGGGCAGGAGGGCCTGGAGCTGTCCAGCAGAGGGTCGTGCCCGCAGGGAGCAGGCCTGGATGTGTGTGGGTGGGAGGCCATCCCAGCCCAGGGGGAGCCTCGTGGGAGCCTCGTGACGTGTGGTTGCACTGGTGCAGGAAGGGGGCTGTGTTCTGCGTCCTTAGAGACATGCGCCCCAAAGACGAGTCAACGTCCTTCTGTTGCCTCCTCAGCTGAAGACGACGACTGTTTTGAAACTTGGTAAAAATCATAGCATAAACCAAATAATTACGTAATATTTTTGGGAATCAAAATGTTCAGTATTGAGAGATACAATGTCAGATCAGTTGGATTAAGTGAGGACCCCACACAGCTCGACCTGATTTTCCAGTGGCATGTGGGTCCAGGTACCACGAGGAAGGCCACGGGAGCTGGAAGCCCGGCCACGTGGAGTGGGTGTGGTACAGACAGTTTCCTGAGTTTTGCTGGGAGGCCTGCTGCCCTTGGGGACACTGCTGAGCCCCACGGGGGCCCGCCCGGCAGACAGCACACGGGGCCAGGCGCCAGCGTGGGGTGGGGATGGAGCAGAGGTCCGACCGAAAGCCAGCTGGGGCTGACGAGGCCTCGCCGTGCCCTCACTTCTGTCGGCCCCACTCTGTTCCCTCTGCGGGAGGCCCTCTAGCTTAAAGGGGATGCTGGCTCACTGGTGCCCGGCTTCGGGGCACCCTGGTCACCCGGGTAGAACTGCCTGATGAGGTCCCTCTTGTTGATCTTCCCCATCTGGTTCCGCGGGATCTCCTCCACCAGCAGGAACTCCGAGGGCACAGCATACGGGGCCAGGACACCCCTGCAGAGATAAGCAGCCTCTGAGCAGCAGGTACTAGGGGCCCGGACAGCTCCCCGGGATAAGCATCCTGGTCCCCCGGGTCCCCGAAGCCTAAGCATGTGCTGTACCCGCCCCGTGTTGCTGCTGTGGACGCGAACATGGAGACGTGGGGGCCCGTGTTCCAGGTCCACCCATGGGCAGAGGCCAGGCCTCCTGGAACAGAAGAGCAGGTCCCGCTCTGGCTGACTATGACAACAGCAGGCCACGGCCAGATGCAGGAGCAGGCAGGTGGGCAGACCCCTGGGCTGGTGGTCCCGTGGGCTGGGGCAGCACTCCCCACAGAGCCCCGTCTGAGCAGTGGGAGAGGCTAGTCTGTTGGTCCAAGAGCTGCTCTGCTGCCCATGCCCCCCCGGGGGCCCTGTTAGATGGTGTGTTCTCCGGCAAGGGGCCCCGTGGACGGGTCTGGCCACCCCCAGGCTCTACTTGGAAACGTCTCCTTAGGTGGCAGGCACCGGTTTTCTCAGGAGGCCCCGTCCAAACCACCAGGCAGTGTGAGTCTGGGGCCGGCAGGTGCGTGTGGCCTTGCGGCCCGTAAACTGTGGGGGCGACCTCAGCCACAGGAGTGGCACTGTGCTGAGCCCACCATGTGCGGCGACAGAGACCCGGACTCTCAGCCGTGGCCGCCGGGTGCTCCTCCCCTTCGTGGGCGGGGTCCACGCGCACACCGACCCTGCACGTCAGCAACAGCCCACGGAAGGCGCCATCAGCCTGGGGCGGCTCGCGCTGAAGGCAGCAGCTCAGGCCAACACGGGGGTGGGACGGCTCGGGGTTCAGTTGCTGGCGCGTCAAGGCAGAGGGTGCCCCCGCCCACAGTGCCGGCGGCTATGGGAGATAGCCGGTGGCACACGGGAGGATTGGGCTGGACTTGGTGGGATAAGCCACGGGACTGTCCGAGGGACTCTGGTGGCACAAGCTGGCATCAAGAAACTCAGCTCCGAGGAGCACCCCGGCCTCATTGCCCAAACCCCGTGTGTCCAGGGGTGTGTGCTTCCCCTGCGGCAGCAGCGAGCTGATGCCAGGGCCCAGGGCAGTAGCCCCGAGACTCTGCTGGTCCCCGTGCTGGGCGGCCTGGTGAGCAGCCAGCGGAGCGCCGTCCCCGTCACCTGAGCAAAGCGCCCTCAAGAACGCGGCCAAACTCAAGGCATTTTCAGACAGATGCCGACAGTCCCCGGGCGGTCGGGCAGCAGACAGGAGCGGGCAGGCCCCGGGGCACAGGCTGGGACACACCTCATTTCCCGAGGACTGAACCCTTTTGGAGAGACGACGCTGGGACAGAAATACACTGGTTTGAGTCGCGTGAATCCGGTTACGTGGGGACTTTTTGATAAACATAGCAGAGGACTGAAAATGCGTTTGGTCTCCCTTGTGATATTCTCCGTTTCCTTTCCTGCAGCTTGCGCCCCTGCAAGAACGCAGGACAGGACACGCACAGCGCAGAAACTACGTGCTGATCGGCCGTTCTCGGTAAGCGGGTGAGTCCGTTCCAGGCCCAGCCATGCTAAGAACGAGGCGAACGTCGGGGGAGAGCCGCGGAGGCGGGCGGCCTGCGCAGGTGGGGGCGGTACGTGAGAGCCCGGCGTTAGGAACCCTAACCTGCAGCCGCTTACAAAAGGCACAGAAGTTAGAAAGTGATAGAGAAGCGTCCGGAAGGATGGCTGGGGGCCCCGGCATTTCCAGAATGTGTTCGCACGGCAGACGCCAGGGGCCAGCCAGGCCTCGCTGAGCTCAGTGAGCGGCGGAGCGGCACTGTTTGGGGAAAAGCAGTCTTCCCGGGGCCGCGGGCTGCGGAGCAGGTGCTCTCCTGGGAGGAGGGGCGGCCTACACAAAGCGAGGACGGGACGCTAAGCTGAAGCCCACCACTCCTCTGGGGGCTCATTGGACATCAAGACCACGGATCCCGGATTCCTCCTTGGGTGTAAACCCCACGTCCCTTTCCGACTTGGTATCTCGGGGATAGGAGGGTAGTGGGTGGGCCGCGTCCCGGGCACAGACCTGCTGCTGCCCTGCTCCACGCCGCATTCACTGCCTCGCACGGACATGTGGCCTGAGCTCCCGACTCGGCCTGGGGAGGACCGGCTGAGGGAGGCATCGTCAGAAAGAAAAACGTGGGAGCGCAGAGCCGACAGGGAGGGCCACAACTTCACTAAGGGCCACGTCCAGGAGAGGCGGACCTGCCCGCCATGGGCTGTGTGGCCTCGGTGTCGCCACCCAGCGACTGCCTGGCTTGAGGACACAGAAGCCTGGACGTCGGCCTCACTGTCCTGGAGATGGCAGTCGGCCGCCCGCCCTGACCTCTTAGGGGTGTCGCCTGCCCCCACCCCAAGCGCACAGAGTACCCGCCTCAGGTCTTCCCGTGGCCACGGTCCCAAGCCTGACCCGTGTGCATGGGCTGCCCGTGACCGGACCCCGACTCTCGGCGGACAGCTCCACACTGGTGACTGGCGTTTAAGGGAAACCGAGACGGCGACTAGAACACCAGCTCCCCGTGTGCGTCGGCAAACCCAGTGGAGCACATCACACAGCCACGCTGGCCCTCATGGAACAAGGGCTTCTGCTCCTTGCAGAATCGTGCTGGATGAACCAAAAATACCTTTAGCACCGAGGAGGGAGGCACGTTGGGAAGGAGGGGTGCAGAGAGACAGCAGAGGAAGGAGAAACTTCCCAGACTGGAAATCAAGAATTTGGGGGACATCAGTAACTGCGTCGAGCTTGGGACCATGGCCACACTGCCCGTAGCCCCCACCCCCGCCGTCCTTCGGGCTCTGGCGTGACTGACCGTGGGGCACCGCAGGCACGGGGAAGGGAGCCTGTGGGTGTCGGCACACGGAGAAAGCCCTGGAGCCATGGCGCGTGGACACAGAGGTCTGGGGATGGTCTAACGTCAGATGAAGCTGGGCCCGCAGGGACGCAGGGTGACGGGACAGGGCTGCGGTGGGGGCGCAGGCCAGGGGAGAGCTGGGGCCCCAGCTCCCAAAGGCCATGTTCAGCACAGGGTGGGTGGGTGGGTGAGGGAGGATGGAGGCTCTGTGCCTGTGGGTTCCTCCCGGAGCCGGGAGAACACCCTGTGCCCCTGCGCTGTGGCTGGGCTGCCCACCCTGTGGTCCTGGCTCTCTCTGTCCCCAGCGACCGTTACGCGGCTTCCCTGCAGCAGCCCTTCGTGCGTTGGGGGCAGCCGTGGGAATGTAATGTCACCTGACCTTCCAGGCAACCCCTCGACCCTGAGCTGGACAGCGGCAAGACCCAAGTCACCCGCCCCGTCCCCTTCTCCAGCCCCACGAGTGCCCCCGCCTGCCCCTACCTTGCCCACTCTTTGAGCTCCCTGTGGGACGGCGAGTGTCCCTCTTGAAGGGTCACCACTGCAGTGACCCGCTGGCCCCACGTCATGTCTGGAACTCCAATCACAGCCACATCTGTGGACAGAGGGGATGCTATGCTGACTGCTGCAGGCTGGGGACATGCCCACGGGGGTGGGGTCAGCATGGGCTCAACACAGCTGGTCCTCCCAGGGACGGGGCGAGGCCTGGTCCCCGCGTGTCTCCCAGGTGGAGCTCAGGGTGGGGCTGGTTTTCCTGAGTCCCTGCCCTCCCTGCACTGCCCAGGGATGGCGACAACAACCAGTGAGCCCTGTGGGGGAGCCTCCGCCATCTCCAGGGTCCTCAGCCTGTGACCTGAGGTCAGGGGCAGGTCTAGGTAGGCTCCATGCTTCCTGGACCGGCAAGCACCAGTGCCCACTCTGGCGCAAGCAGGGGGCTCAGCCCACGGTCACAGCGAGCAGGCCGGAGCTGCTGAGGTCAGGCCGGGACCCTGGCTGCAGTGCCAAGGTGGGGGGCATGCAGCCGGCAGGCAGAGGGTCCCCACTGGGTGCAGCCCAAGGGCGAGTCACCTGCCCGGGTGTGTCCACAAGCAAACACAGTTGGAGGCACGTCTGAAGCGTTTCCAGGATGGGGGCTCCGCAGCCAGCTTGCCATCGGGGGTCCCTGCCACGGGGCTGGGGGCCACGTACCTGTGATGCTGGGGTGCGCCAGCAGCAGCCGCTCCACCTCCAGGGCGCTGACCTTGTAGCCACCGCTTTTGATGATGTCCACGGACGTGCGGCCCCGGATCCAGTAGGTGCCGTCCTTAAACACTGCCGTGTCACCTGAGGACGGGGCTCTGTCAGCAAGACGTGCGTCCCGGGGCCCCGCATGTTTTGAGGGGCACACGTGTGGAAGCAGCGTCCCCGCTGTCACAGGCCAGCTGCCCGTGTCTGGGGCACCGACACCCCCACACGGTGCTGGGACGGCGGTGCTTGTGGGCTGTTTCGGGACAAGGCGGCAAGCATGAGGCTCACCGGCTGTGACCTCAGCCTGGGGTCTGACCGCGGACAGCCCCGTGCAGACAGCAGTGTCCCCAGCGGCTGACGGAGTGAAGACCAGGGCTCCGAGGCAGGACGGCTGGGCTGTCACCGCCCAGCTCGGTCCCTTCCCGCCCTCTCTCAGGCCCGTGCAACAGAGGGAAGAGGCAGCTGCTCCCGCCAGCCCACTGTGGGGTCCCGGTCATGGCAGGGTCCTAGTGGAGAGCACCTCACTGCAGCACCCCCCCATTCTTGGGGTCTCCCGGGCTGCAAGCAGTTACACGGACTCTCCGAAACCCTCCTGTCCCTCCGCACCACGGTGTGGTTTCCCACCGGGCTTCCCCGCATGCTGGCCCCGCCGGAAGCCCAACCGGTCCTCTTCCAGGCCATGCTGGGCAGTGGGATGGTCAGTGGGGTAGGGGCCAGCGGGGGCCAGCCCAGAGCAGGGAGGGTGCAGGGGCGGTGGGCCTGAGTGTGTGTGTGGACACACGTGGACATGCGTGTGTGGACACGTGTATGGATGTGTGTGTGTGGACGTGTGCACGTGGATGCACGTGCCTGTGCAGCCACCCCCGCCAGGCCCCTGGGAACAGCGCCGGCGCCGCCCGCCTGTGCTCCCGCGGCCTGAGCACGGGGTCATCAGCTGGGACACAGCGGGGGCTTCATTACGAGTCACGGCATCCACGCAGGAAGGCGCCATCTGTCACCTGCCGCTCCCCGACCCGCTGCGCCCCGGGCACGAGCCCGTCTACAGACAGACGCTGTGCGTGGGCGGGTGGCCGGCTCACTGATGGTGGCGTGGGAGGGCCAGGCTCCAAGAGGACAGGCCGCGGGCGTGGCGCGTTCTCTCACGGACAGGAGGCAGAGGGAGCCAGAGATGTTGCAAGTGCCTCAAGGGCGTTGTGGCCGCAGGACGCAGGCGGCTGGCTGGCAGGAAGGCTGCAGGGGTGAGGGACACAGGGAGGACTGGGGTGGGAGACCTACTGCGGGTGTTACGAGGCCCACTGTGCTCCCCATATCTGGGTGCAGCCCCTGCTCTGGCTGCGTCCCCTCCCCACCGGACGGTTGTGTGCGCCCCCGAGAGCTTCCTGACCGCCAGTCACCTGCTCCTTAAAGGCACCGATGGGCCCAGTCCAAGCTGTCACTGGCTCGTGCTGTTGGGACAGACACTGCACCAGCCCAGGGTCCCTCCAGGGCTTTCCTGGCCCTGCTCCCAGCACCTCCACTCACCCAGAGGCCCTGCCGGGTGAGGAACCCTGCCCCGGGCTCAGGCTCCTGTCTCTGGTCCTGCCAGAGGCATCCCGCCTGCCCAGATCACAGCTGCTGAGGCTCGGGGGGCGTCTCCCCGACACGGCAGCTGCCCCCGAGGCTCTTCTTCCAGTCCTGCCCTGACCGCCAGGGGAGGTGGTGGCAGGCTCTGGCTCGCCTCCCCAGATGGGCCTGCCCTGCTCTCCGGGGACCCCTCTCCACGCTGCCTGGAGACCCAGAGAAGCCAGCCACGGCCGTTCTGAGCGCGCGACCTTGCGGGGGAGGGGTGCGCAGGCTGATCAGGGGACACGCTCGGAACCGAGGCCCAGTCCGCAAGGCTGCTCCATGTCCCGGAGACAAGGGCCCTCAACGCCCTTTCCTGGCCCTTCTGCTCTGTTTGCTTGATGCTGTGTCCCAGCAGAGAAGATGGTTGAAGGCCTGCACCGTCCCCCAAACTCCCACGAGTCTCTAACCCACAGGCAGCCACTTCCGGAGGGCAGGACGTGCTCAGGGCTGGGACGGGGGTCAGAAAGAGGGGTCCTGGGCAGCGAGGGTGGGAGCCGTGTGTGCAGAGCCTGACATCGGGGTGCGACCGGCCGGCTACCTGCTGTGCTCCCCGGCGGGACAGAGCCCCGAGCACAGGGTATGGGGAGGTTCCAGGAAACTGAACAGAGCAGGACAGTGGGACAGATGTGCTACGACATCAGGGAGGTGCTGCTAGTCCTCGTGGACTCTGTGGGCCTGGTGGCGCCTGCCACCCGCAGCGGGAAGAAACACCCGCCTCCCAGACACGGGCGCGATGGCTACACCAACCCACGTACACACACGCTCAGAGGCGGGGTACGCCCTGGCCAGCACACCCCGCCCGGGCTCCCGTGGGCACCTGGAGCCTTCCCTCTGGTATCACGTGATGCGCTTGAGGCCCAGCCTGGGGATGGAGGTCCCTGCCTCGCCTGGGACACCAAGTTGCCTGCCCTGCGGCCAGCGTCTGGCCCTGCAGCTGGGGAGATGTGGGCTGAGCCCGGCCGGCGGCACCCAAGGGCCCTGTTTTGAGCAGTGACACCCGGCATGGGCCTGCTCCGACTGCCCCACGCCACGCGGCTGGAACTTCCCAGGATACTGTCCCGTGCCTTCCCGGAGCGCCTGCCTCATGAGAGATCGGGTGCGGCACACAGAGCCCTGGCCAGGGGACATGATCTCAAGGGAGTGATGTAGAGGGAAAAGGCCAGTCCCCAGAGGGTCTGCTTGTAGGGTTTGTCTTCATGCCATTCCCTGGACGACAAGCAATGGGGGCGGAGGGGGACAGTCACGAGGCCGCGAACCAGCGCGGACGCACATGTGTGATGAGGGCAGTGAGCACACACAGTTGGGCACAGGCGTGTCAGGCTGGTGGACCCTGGATGAGCCCCAGCATGGGCTCTGGTGTCGTGCTGGTGACGAGGACGCGGACACTGGGCAGAGGGATGGGCGTGCACAGGGCCGCCCAGCTCGCCACCCACATCTGCCCGCGAATCTCTCCCGACCGCAAAGAAAAGACGTTAAGAAACCGCTGTTGGGTTTGTGGAGAAGTCTCTGCCTCCCCTGGGGGGCTCACCCAAAGCTGAGTCACCCCGGTGTCGGCACACACACGATGACCCTGCGAGTTTCAGGAAGGATTCTGCGCTCACTCAGGACCCAGAAGCACGCACAGGAACCCCTGCCGTGAGGCGTACTCCTGTGCCGCTGCGGTCATCTGTCCGCCGGGGGTCAGCACCCTACGCCTGCTGGGAAACACCTGCCCTGCTCTCCAGGGCGGAAACTGGGGTGCGCGGGGGTGCAGGGGGGCAGCTGAGAACCCAGCCCCCACCGAGCCTGCACGTCAGGCCCCGCAGGCCCCGTGAGCCTGGCACGGGCTGTTCCTGGCATCGCCCCCACACAGGGCTGGGGGACAGGGGGCAGGTCGGGGGCAGCTCGTGTTGGGTCGGCTCCCCCGGCCATGGGGCAGCTCGGCCTCCCCTGTTCTTTCCCGCTCTCAGCCCCCAGGGACGGCCAGGCTCTGCAGGGCAGAGAATCAGCCCAACGGCTCCCAGAACCGCAGGACGTGGTGTCCTGAGCGCCAGCAGGAGGAGGGACGTCAGAGTCAGAGCACCCAAGGCGCTCGGCTTGTCCGACGAGGACCCTGGGATCGAGAAAATTCTCCAAATTTTCCTGGAGGGAAAGGTCGTATGGTGCCAGGAAGGACGCGGCCGCGGAAGGGGGAACGGATAAGGACGGTTTCTAACCCTGGAGTCTACCTCGCCTGCCGAGCAAAGACACTACGGGACACACGCCCCCGCTGAATTGCGCCCACACACCTGCCGTCAGGAGGCTCCTGGGGACACAGCCCCAGGCTCCGGAGCAGAAGGGCAGGAGGCAGCTGCAGGAGGGGCCTGGTGGGACGGCGGGCACAGGGGACTCCCAAGCAGGCAGGGCGGACCTCAGGGAAACAAGAGGACAGAAGGACCCCAGTCCCCAGGAGACTCAGGCCTCACGGTGCATACATGGCACTGGAGCCACGAAACGTGGCCCCTCCGAGGGGAGGATGGGTGTGAGGAGTGGCCTCAGAGCCCAGGTGTGAGCGGCTACTGCTCTCAAGCTGGTAAAACCAGCAGCTCTTCTAGCCACGCACGTCACTCTGCCTACACACAATCACCCTGAGCCCAGGGGCCTGGGACTGACAAGGGGACGGTGCGGCGACCACAGGAGCCAGCCCGCGTGCAGCTGGAGCCTGATGTCGACAGAGGGAACACCGTCTCTTGTCACCACTGGGCACCACGTCACCGCACACAGAGGCCCGTTCCTGCGGGTCCAAGATTAGCTTCAAGAGGGCCACACCGCGCAAGGGCAGAAGAACCCCGGGAAACAAAGGACTTTGAAGCCAGGTGACAAAATACGGCAGAGCACGCCCAAACCTTCCATGCACAAACCGGCCAGCACAGCAGCCTGGCCATGTGCGCACTGTACCACCGGTCCCGCCGAGCGTCCTTGCAGGGGCGACCCTGCCTCCCGGGTCAGCGAGGTGCACGGGTCACGGCGGCCGTGCCCTCCACGCACCCACACCTGCGAACATGCAGCCCTTGGCCCAGTTCCTAACTGTGACTCACCGGCCAAGATGGAAGCTCTCTTACCGGAAAAGGAAAGCAGAGCCCCAGCTGCGGCCAGGCAGGGCGGGAGTAGAGCAGACACCGCGTCTGTCGGAGAGGCATGATGTCGGACCAGCCTGTGCCCACTGTGCCCTGAGAGCAGCCGTGCCCATGGACGGAGCGAAAAGAGCTCTGGGGAAGGAAGGGGTCCTCTCCCAGGTGACTGCGGCCGGTGGCTGCGGGAGCCCAGTACACACACAGACGTCACCCGTTCCCGTCGTCGCTCTCCAGAACCCGGTTTCTAAAGGCCTCCCGACCCCTGCGGCCGGACACCTCCCAACACGGGCAGCAGCCCCCACGGCCAGGTGCAGGGGTCTCGCCTCACGCTTCCCAAGTAACACCGCGGAGGTCCGTGCCTGGCTCTGCCCGCCTCTCGGCTGCCCCTGTGATGCGGGTCCCAGAAACACTCCTGACCCACGGGCCCACCTGCAGAGGGAACGCAGCTGCCTCACGGTCAGGATCTTTTAAATTCGGTGACAGGGGGTGCCTGGGTGGCTCCAGTGGGTTAAGCCTCTGCCTTCCGCTCGGGTCATGATCTCAGGGTCCTGGGATCGAGCCCCGCATCGGGCTCTCTGCTCAGCGGGGAGCCTGCTTCCCCCTCTCTCTGCCTGCCTCTCTGCCTGCTTGTGATCTCTCAAATAAATAAAACCTTTAAAAAAAATAATAAATTCGGTGACAGGAGTCCATCTCTGTCTCTGTATTTCTCTCGCTCGTCGTAAGGAAGTGAGACCGCGTCTTACGTATTTTCACGGCCAGCTGCTCTGCCTCCTGGGATCTGCCGGTCGCCTCTGCCCTTCCCCGCAGGGCTGCCTGGGCACCGCGAGAGAGCCACGGGGGCGTGGCTCTGGAGAGCTCTGGAGAGCCGACGCCCACCAGGGCCCCCTCCGTCCCTCTGCCGAGTCTCCGGGATGCTGGGCTCTGGGAGGGACGTCACGTGCGTGCCGTGGAGAAGGCAGGAACCCGTGATGCTCTAGCGGCTTCTCCCAGAGTCCTCTCCGCCCACCCTTGTCCCCTCAACCAGGGCACCGACGTGGAACAAGTGAGCCGTTTACCAGGCCCACGTCCTGGCGCGAGACAGTGGACGACGGAGCATCGTTAGAGGAAGTCACAGGCTGTCTGCGTCCTGACACTCAGCCGTGTCTTTAATACAGAACCGCTCGGCGGAAGGCCTCAAAGGCAGCAGGAACTGTAACGTCTGCTCACTCGGTCCCCCTCCGTCCGTGTCCTCACCTCCCTCCCAGGTCACCTCCCTCTCGTCTCCGTGTCACCTCCGTCCTGTGTCCTCATCCCTGTCCCACATGCCCTCCGTGTCCTCACCTCCGTCCCGTGCCCGCACCTCTGTGTCCTCACCCGTCTGGCGTCCTCACGCCCATGTCACCTCCATCCCGTGCTCTCATCCTCGTGTCCTCAACTCTGTGTCCTCTGCTCTGGCAGTGAGGTCAATAAAAGGGGTTGAGGGCTGAGGGCGCCCGGAACCCCTGTCCCGCTGCCCTGGGCTAGCGCCGGGGCCGTGTGTGTGTCAAACGGCTTCTCTCTGGGGCGCTGCTGTGCCCGTGAGTTAGGGTTGGGAGATGCCTGTGGCGCTGGGCAGAGTTTCTGGGGGTGATGGTGGGTCTCCTCTGCAGCGGCCACGACTGCTGGGGCTTTCCGAGGGGCTCCTCGCGCATCTGCGGGAGGAGGGGACGGCGGCAGGGTGGGGAGGGCAGGACTGGCTGGTGACCTTTCTGCCCTCGTCCAGAGGTGGGCCAGGCCCTCCCCCAGGCCCCCCGCAGCAGCTCTCCAGCTCCCGCCAGAACCCCGTGGTAGGAGGGGCTGGCCAGGGAAAGGGTTAAGTTTAATTTATCCTGATTTCTATTTAATATCGCGCTCTCCCTGCAGGGGCGGCAGCTGCGAGCTGATTGCACCCGCACATTATGCAGCCTGTGTCGCTAATGGCCTGTGACAAAGGCACACGGCTTCCAGGCTTCACCCCCGAGAGCCAATTAAACGCACACGCTCCCTTCCTGTTTGCGGCGCATTACAATGAAATTAAACTGAATTTCAAAATCATTTTCTCCTAAAGACATCTCTTTACAATAATTAATGCACGCTATTCCTTTCCAGCGCAAACATTCATCAGCAGCGACTGAACGTTCTCATGCTGACGGCCCCGCACTTGGCCTTGGGCCACCGGGCGCCAGCGAGCTGCGACCAGCAAATCCACAGGGCTTGGCATCCCGTGCCCGTAACGAAAAACCCTTTTATCTGAATTTAAAAATAAAAGATGATGGCCACACTGGGACCGTTCAGAGGCTGCGGGAGGGACGTCCAAACCCGCACGAGAGGGACGACGACGGAGAGGCCCGCGGTCAGACTAGCTCGCGGGAACGCCGCGCTCACCAGGGAAATCAGCTGGGTGTGTTCCCATGCTGACCGCACCCGCGCACAGGGACAGGACGTCCCGAGAAACGGGACCGGGGCTCCCAGGGCCCGACCCCAGAACACTCGCTCCCCCGTCAGGTTCCCAAGGTCCAGCCTCGCTCTGAAGGCTGACACACATCCGCGCTGCCAGCCCTCCCTAACCATCACACGCCCGCGTCCTGTGCCCGGCACGGAGGGACGGGGAGCCTGGACATCGCCCCTAGCGGCCGCTGGGACACGCTTGTCAGGCACAGAGCCGAGAACCCCAGACATGCCCCGGGACCACGGGGCGGATGCAGGACTGGCCAGGACCACCAAGTGTGGACCCAGTGCCACCTGGCAGGGAGGTAGGAAGGGGGTCCTTGACACCCCCACCAGGAAGACCCTCCGCCGGCCGCCTTCAAACCAAACCCTCACCTGTGTCAGGAGCCGCCACAGACCGAGACTGCCAGGGTCCACGAGTCCCTGCTCTGCCACTCAGTGACCTCAGGACTGTGACAGCAGCAGAGGAGAGTGGACACACGATCTCCCACGCCGACCCGAGCCCAGCGAGGCGCCTGAGCAAATGCTGTGTGGCCGCGAGACTAAGGAACACGGCCGCCCGCCCCCCCCCGCCGGCCGCTCCTAGGCTCTGCGCCCCGCAGGACAGGGACGGAGGCAGACTTCTGACGGTGGGGCCACACGCGGTGGCGCATGAAGCAAGGCTCTCTTTTCGGAAAATATTGTCCGAAGATGACTGTGCAACGACACACTGTCAGCAAAAGTCACACACACACAGACGGGTGGGAAGAAAGGAGGAACCGCCCAGAACCCGACCACCGATCCGCCAGGAGGTCGTTCTCAGTGAGCTACAACCGTAATGTTCAGTGTCTGCCACCAAGTCCCCATTTGGGACCACTGGGGCCAAGGAGGGAGCCGGGGGACCCTGAGCAGCTCTGGGTCCTGCCAGAAGGGACCACTGGCACACCAAGCAAAGGGCCCCGGGTGTTGGGGGAGAATAATGGAAAACGACCCAAAAGAACAAGGAATCAAATTCTGCCAGAAGGACCTGGATCCTGGGGGGTGGGGATGGGCGAGACGATTTATAAAGTGGGGGCTCGGGGCAGGCGGGGGAAGGGCCGAGGAGGATCTCTACATCCAGCCCTCCTTCTAGAGGCTGCTGGGGCCCTGGGGCAGGGTGAGGACGCAGCCTCAAAGACAGGAGACAGAGTGCATCCCACCCCATCTCTGCCCCGGACAGAAGATCCTGGGGTGTCCAGGCCGTCCCCCACGGGTCCCCCTCCTACCTGTCTTGAACCAGCCATCCCAGGTAAAGGCACGTCTCGTTTCTTCTGGTTTGTCCCAGTATTCTCGGAACACAGATGGCCCTCTGACCAACAGCTCCCCTTCCTTCTCCTTGAACCCTGGGGTCACCTGCAGCATGGGAGACAGTGGACCCCTCTCAGGATGGGGGCTCCACCTGCCTTTCTCGTGACCCCCCTCACCACACCCTCTTCTGAAATTGGACACGTCGTTGGAAATGATTGAAAATGCATCTTTCAACACTAGACCTCAGGTGGACACCACGGCAGGGAGTGTGTGTCTCCGTGTTCATCCTCTAGACTTGAAGCCAGGGGTCGCTGACCCATGTCACAGGGCCTGGCTGGATTCAAGCTGCCCGTCCACTTCTCAGAGTGTGCTCCTGGCGTCGAAGACTCTCCCTTTTCAGGGTGTTTCCTGCACACTCCATGGCCATGGGAGGCTCGGGGACATGGCCAGCCGCCACAGCACACACACGGCTCCGGCGGCTCCCGTGGGGCCTTGTGGAGGTGGTCACTTTGCTTGGGGAGAAGGGAGCTGAGCACGCAGCCACTCAAGAGAGGACGGGCCGGGCTCAGGTGCCCGGGACAGAGGGCACCCAGATCGCGTGGTCCTGGGGAGCGGCGGGGGCGGGGGGGGTTCACGTCTCCGCTGTGACCACAGGGCAGGGCAGCGCAGCGCAGGAGGGAGGTGGGGCTTTATAGGAAACGGAGAAGGGCTCCAGCGAAGCCAGAAGAAGGCGCAGAGCCCGTGCACGTGCGGAGGCCCTGCGGGAGGCCGTCCTCACACAGAGCGAAGGTGACTGAATGGAGGCCAGGGACCCTCCGGTCTGAAGCTCAGCTCCCACCCGGAATGAACTTATTCTGGGGAAGAACCATCCCTTCGAAAAGGCTGTCAAACTGTCGGGCTCACTGTCTGAGGCCTGGACGCAGTCCACACTTCTGAGGCCGACGGCGGGTGGCCGACCAGAGCCAATCCCGCCCCTGCAGCTCTCCACTGACGTCGCAGCCCACTCCCCACGTCAGGGCCCAGTGCTGTACCTGCCATCCGGCCTGCCTGGAGGACGTCTGTTTCCCAACCAAACCAGACTTTATTTCACCCATTTTCCCACTGTTGCCCTTGTCTGATCCACTGCCAAGGCGAGACCATCTTCTTGCCGGAGATGGGGACCTACTTCCAAGCATCAGCCCCAAATCCCAGATCCAGGGTAAGTAATGAGCAGGGGACGCCTGGGGGGCTCCGTCAGTGAAGCGTCTGCCTTCGGCTCAGGTCATGATCTTGGGGTCCTGGGATGGAGCCCCATGTCAGGTTCCCTGCTCAGTGGTCTGCTTCTCCCTCTCCTTCTGCCCTTCCCCCCCGGCTCATGCGCTCTCTCTCTCTCACACAAATAAATAAAAATCTTAAAAAAAAAAAAAAAGAAAGTAACGTTCAGGATGGAGGAAAAGACAAAGACACCTGTAGATACAGAAGAAACAATGGAACTTGTGACCAGCTGGTCTCATCTAAGGAATTACCAGGCAACGTTCCTCAGAAGGGAAACGATGCCAGAGTTAACATGAAAACTCAGAAATGAAATAAAACCAACAGAATCAGTAAATACTTGGGTGAGTAACACTGACCATTCTGTTGCTCACGAGTTCTTTAAAACAGTTCAGAAGGCAGAAAGCAAACACGTAACACTGTCTCACAGGCTTTACCCTCCATGCAGGATTCCACGTGACAACCAGGCCGCACAGGGAGATGGCAAAGTGACCAGGATTCTGTGCCTGACCAGGCTGCAGTCGGGCTCCCGAAGCTTCTCCTAGGCCACCTGGGCCCCTCCTGTGACATCAAGTTCTAGCAAGAACCCCGCTCCGTCAGTTCAGCAGGAGCCCCCCACCCTGGTACCCCATCACCCTCAAATCTGCTATCACCCCCAGGTGACATCTGATCACCCCAGCCTGCCCTCAGAAGAGATCCTGGCAGGTCGGTTTAGCCAGAGTCCCCACTCAGCCCTGATGTGTCCCCTCAGCAAGTCTCCACCCACTGACCCCACCCGCTGCTCGGGAGTGAACGTCCACGGGCCCGCGCGGCACTCAGAGCTGGGACACCCGGCTGCGGGGGGCCCACAGCTTCCCCGTGGTCCTGAGTCCCATCCACCTCACCACCTCCAACAAGGGTCACTGAACGTCTTCTCTCTGACCCTAGGAGTTCTGCTTCTCCAGGACTGGTGAGGACTGGTCTAAGCAGGTCTCAATACGTATCGTAGCCCCCAGAACTACGAAACCCGTCCAAGAGCGTAAGGTCAGGAGCTCGAGCACTGAATGACAGTGTAACACTGAGGAATGATTTCAAAGAGGCCTGAAAGGGCAGCCGAGCGATGGGGAGCCGAGGGAGCTACCGTGGGGGGCAGCACGCGGTGGCAGGAGAAGTTCGAGCATCTCCACCACCAGGTCAAATCTAAGCCCTGCCCTGGACGCGCCAATTGGAAGACTGAGGACTGGACTGGAAAGCCGTACGTGATCCAACCCTACACCGTCTGTGAGAAACTCACCTCCAGGGCAGCGCCACAGGCAGGTGAGAAGCAAGGGGACAAGACCACACACAGCACGGACACCAATCAGAACAAAGTACACTGACCACAGCTTTATCAACACCAGACAAAGTCAACATACGAGCAAAGGACTGAGGACGGAACAGTCAGGTCACCGAGATGAGAGAACAATTAAACACGTGCATTCACCAAGTAAGAGACTTTCAAAATACATCAGCAAAAATGCAAAAGCAGAAACAGACAATAATGGTGGAGGAGTCACATATATCCCCCCACCCTCCCACCCAAGAACTGGACCGACGCTCACGGAGCAGTGGGGCCGGGCAGCACCGACCGCGGTCAGTGGCCTGATGTCTGTGTTGCAGCACTGCCAGAAGCATGCGCGTCCACCAGGAAGGCCACGTTTGGGGGCACACACATGCTTTCACAAATTTAAAGGAACTGGAATTGTATCCAACAAGCTTTGACTATAACAGAATTAAACTAAAAACGAGTAACAGAAAGATAACAATCTCCAAACACTTGGAAAACAGACAACACGCTTCTAAATAATCCATGAGTCCAAGATGTCTTAAGGGAAATAAGAAAATCAGGAAATATTTCAAAGTGAATGGAAATGAAAACACATCAGAATTTGTGGGGGGGAGGGCAAGCCCCCACGGAGCTGAGGAAGATCTGGCCGGTAAATGCGTGAATTGGGAAAGGGGAAAGTAATAGAGAAAATTCACGGAATCCAAAACCAAGTTCTTTGAAAAAAGTTCAGTAACAGATAAACATCAAGGAAGAGTAACAACAAAAGAAGCAGAAGACACACACTGTCCATGAGAGAAACGGGCAGGCGCTACCTCAGACCACACAGTGTCCACAAGAGAAATGGGCACGCGCTACCTCAGACCACACTGTCCACGAGAGAAACGGGCAGGCGCTACCTCAGACCACACAGTGTCCACGAGAGAAACGGGCAGGCGCTACCTCAGACCACACAGTGTCCACGAGAGAAACGGGCACGCGCTACACGAGAGAAACGGGCAGGTGCTACCTCAGACCACACAGTGTCCACGAGAGAAACGGGCACGCACTACCTCAGACCACACAGTGTCCACGAGAGAAACGGGCACGCGCTACCTCAGACCACACAGTGTCCACGAGAGAAACGGGCAGGCGCTACCTCAGACCACACTGTCCACGAAAGAAACGGGCAGGCGCTACCTCAGACCACACAGTGTCCACAAGAGAAACGGGCACGCGCTACCTCAGACCACACAGGCACAAAAGGACAAATAAGGAGACACTGAGAAACACTGTGTGCAAAAATCCAACAACTTAAATGGATCAATTTCTCAAAAACCACACTCTACCAAAATTCACCCAAGATGCATTAAAGGACCTGAATAGTCCTATAACGATTAAGAAAATGAAATCATAGTTAAAATCTTCCAAAAAAGAAGCCTCTGGGTCCAGATGGTTTCACTGGTAAATTCTATTCAACATTTCAATAAGTATACAATACCAGTTATATGCAGAAAGCACAAGAGGGGGGAATCATTCCCAACTCACTTCATGATGCTAGCACTACCCTGATACCCAAACAAGACAAAGAAGCACAACAAAAGGAAACCTCAGATGCAAACACCCTCAGCGAAATGCTGGCAGACCCAATACAGCACATCTAAAATAAATGACACACCACAAGCAAGTGGGGTTTGTCCCAGGAATGTGAGGCTGATTCAATACTAGAAAATCAACCAATGTGATCTACTATATTAGCAGCCTAATGAGGAAAAACCAGTTGATGTAAAAAAGCATCTGCAAATACACCATCCAGGAGCACCAGGGGGCTAAGCTGGGGAACCATCCGATTTCGGGTCAGGTCATGATCTCAGGGCTGTGAGACTGAGCCCCATGCTGAGCTCCCTGCTCCTTGGAAGCCTGCTTCTTCCTCTCCCTTTTCCCCTCCTCCAGGAAAAAAAAAGAAAATATTTCATCCATTCACGCTAAGAACTCAACATATCATTAGTAGAATGGAATCTACAAAAAGCCTACAGCCAATGTTATTATTATTATTTTTAAAAAATTTTATTTATTTATTTGACAGACAGAGATCACAAGTAGACAGAGAGGCAGGCGGAGAGAGAGGGAGAGAGAGAAGAAGGCTCCCTGCTGAGCAGAGAGTCCGATGCGGGACTCGATCCCAGGACCCTGAGACCATGACCTGAGCCGAAGGCAGAGGCTTAACTCACTGAGCCACCCAGGTGCCCAGCCAATGTTATTTTTAATACTCTTCCCATTCAGCATCACACTGGAAATCCTCATCAGGGCAATTAAGACAAGAAGAAATGAAAACATACAGATTGAAAAGGAAGAAGTAAAACTACTCCTACTTGGAGAAAACATGACTGTTGATATGAAAAGTCCTAAAAAACCTACAAAAATACCTTCTAACTCTAAAAAGAGAATTTAACAAGATTGCTAAAGGATATGAAGCCAATATACTAAAATTGATTATATTTTTATACCCCAGCAATGAACAGTTCAAAAACAAACAGAAAAGCCCACACCTACAGTGACTGAAAAAGAAGGA